CCTCCTTAGCCTCCCGAAATGCTGGGGTTACAGATGTGAGCCACCACACCTAGCCCAAAACTTATTTTTTATTTTAATTTATTTTTTAGAGACAGAATCTTGTTCTCTTGCTTGGGCTGTAGTGCTGTGGCTCACTGCAGCCTCAAGCCCCTGGGCTCAAGAGATCCTCTTGCCTTAGCCACCTGTGTAGCTGGGAGTACAGGCATGCACCACCATGCCCAGCTAATTTTTATTTTTTGTAGAGATGGGGGTCATGCTATGTTGCTGGTCTTGAACTCCTGGGCACAAGTGATCTTCCCACTTCAGCCTCAAAGTGCTGGGATTATGGGCATGAGCCACTGCACCCAGCCCAAACCTTGTAAAGGATACATGTACTTCCATCAAGGAAGTTTAAAGGGAGGTAGATTTGAGTTCAGTACAGAAGAAATTTACTATTATTGTTGGAAGGGAGGTGGCAATTGTGCATAGATCAAGGAGAGGCCACTGACATTCTTTAAGATACTGTAGAAAACATTTATTTATCAGATTGAACCAAAAGAAAGCCTTAATTCTAAATCTTTTGACTTAAAAAAAGTCTTATTTCTCTGTTTCTATCTGTGAACTTGATAGATTCTAGTTGGTAAACTGATAAGGGTTATTCTTTTTTATTTTTATTTTTTTTTATTTTTTTTGAGATGGAGTCTTGCTGTATTGCCCAGGCTGGAGTGCAATGGTATGATCTCGGCTCACTGCAACCTCCATCTCCTGGGTTCAAGCAATTCTCCTGCCTCAGCCTCCCGAGTAGCTGGGATTACAGGTGTGCACCACTACCTCCAGCTAACTTTCGTATTTTTATGGAGACGGGTTTCACCATGTTGGTCAGGCTGGTCTCGAACTCCTGACCTTGTTTGTGATCCACCCACCTCTGCTTCCCAAAGTGCTGGGATTACAGGTGTCATGAGCTGCTGCACCCAGCTGATAAAGCCTATTCTTAATTTTTCTCTCTCTTTCCGCATGCTCTTCCCCTCATCATTATCCATTTAACCTGCTTTATTTTTCCTCCTAGCACTTGTCACTACCTGGTATTGTATAGTTGGTTTTTCTTGCCTGCCTCCTCAACTAGAATGTTAGCTCCTTGAAGCAGATACTTTGTTCAGCACCGTATCTGCAGGGCTGCAAGTGTGCTAGCACAAAAGTGGCACTCAATAAACATTTGTTGAACCTTTACACAAAAATAAATAACATATGTATAAATTGCTGTACATTATTTTCTAAATTTTAGGCACAAGTAGTACTTGTTCCTTATAAGAAGATATAGAAAAGTATAAGGAAGAAGCAAACAAAAAATTAGTGGAATTTTTTTTTTTTTAGACAGTGTTTTACTCTTGTTGCCTAGGCTGGAGTGCAGTGGCATGATCTCGGCTCACTACAGCTTCCAATTCCTGGGTTCAAGCAATTCTCCTGCCTCAGCCTCCCAAGTAGCTGGGATTACAGGCATGTGCCACCACGCACTGCTAACTTTGTATTTTTAGTAGAAACGGGGTTTCACCATGTTGGTCAGGCTGGTGTCGAACTCCTAACCTTAGGTGATCCGCCCGCCTCAGCCTCCCAAAGTGGTGGGATTATACGTGTGAGCCACTGCCCCTGGCCAAATCAGAGGAATTTATCAGCAACAACATATATCCCTGAGGAATGTGCTCAGTTGAGTTCTTGTTAAAGTTTGGGGTGCTTTGGCCCTATTAAGCCAGTAAATAATGAAGACTTAACTCCATTTGTTTTTGTTTTCTTTGTTGTTCTTGTTTGGGGGTTTATTATTTTTTTTACAAAAAATCCTGGTAAGGAAGGATGGCTCCACAGGGATTACCTCTGAGAACACAGGATCCAAAGCCGAACAATAGGTCTTTACGTTATCTGGAAGAATCTCTTCTTTTGCCTCCTGTAATTGGTGATTTCATCATTAGGCCTGTACATGACTTCTGAACGCTGCTGTACACAGCACTTCATTTAGCTGGGCTTACGGAGATTAGATCATGCACAGGAAGCTGGCTCCTTGGCTAACAGGCTCCAGAGAGGAGTCAGGAGGCTTAAGGGATGTGAAAAATTAAGGTTGATTTTTAAGAGACAGGATTCACTGGAAAAGCACAGAGATTTTTCCAGCTCATGAAAGTACCTCCATGATCTTTAGTTAGTTTCATGAACAACATTGATTCCTACTTCAAAACTCTTTCTATAAATAAGGGCTTCTTTAAGCTTCCCTTCCCTTCCCTTTTATTTTATTTATTTTTTATTTTTATTATTATACTTTAAGTTCTAGGGTACATGTGCATAACGTGCAGGTTTGTTACATATGTATACTTGTGCCATGTTGATGTGCTGCACCTATCGTCAGCAGCCATCAACTCGTCATTTACATCAGGTATAACTCCCAATGCAATCCCTCCCCCCTCCCCCCTCCCTTATTTTATTTTTTATAGAGATGGGGTCTCACCATGTTGCCCAGGCTGTTCTCAAACTCCTGGGCTCAAGTGATCCTCCCTCCTTGGCCTCCCTAAGTGCTGGGATTACAGGTGTAAGCCATCACACTGGGCCCCTTTCACTCTCAAAATAGGGCCGCTAGTACTGACTTTGTGAGATTGTTATGATTTTAACGAGCTAGCTCTTTTTTTTTTTTTTTTTTTTGAGACAGAGTCTTGTTCTGTCGCCCAAGCTGGAGTGCAGTGGCCAGATCTCAGCTCACTGCAAGCTCCGCCTCCCGGGTTTATGCCATTCTCCTGCCTCAGCCTCCGGGTAGCTGGGACTACAGGCGCCCGCCACCTCGCCCGGCTAGTTTTTTGTATTTTTTAGTAGCGACGGGCTTTCACCGTGTTAGCCAGGATGGTCTCGATCTCCTGACCTCGTGATTCGCCCGTCTCGGCCTCCCAAAGTGCTGGGATTACAGGCTTGAGCCACCGCGCCCGGCACGAGCTAGCTCTTTAAAGTATCTAGTATAGTGCTTGGAAGATAAAAACCTATCATGGTTTCCGGAACATATACCATGATCATAATCATTGTCAGCTCCTTTTCTTTCTCTTTTTACCATTATCACTATCCATACTATCAGGTTTTAATTAACTTCTTATAACAGAATTACATTTTGAAATCCTATTGTGTTTAATTGGAGTTTTAAATAACATTTTTGTACTTCTTAAGATGCTTTCAATTATCTGCCTTATTATTATTATTATTATTATTATTATTGGTTTACTTGGCTGGGTGCAGTGGCTCATGCCTGTAATTCCAGCACTTTGGGAGGACAAGATGGGAGGATTGTTTGAGCCCAGGAGTTTGAGACCAGCCTGAGCAACATGGCAAAACCCCATCTCTACTAAAAATACAAAACATTAGCCATGCATGGTGGTGTGTGCCTGTGGTTCCAGCTACCCAGGAGGCTGAGATGAAAATATCACTTGAGGGGGCCGGGCGCGGTGGCTCAAGCCTGTAATCCCAGCACTTTGGGAGGCCGAGACGGGCGAATCACGAGGTCAGGAGATCGAGACCATCCTGGCTAACATGGTGAAACCCCATCTCTACTAAAAAATACAAAAAACTAGCTGGGCGTGGTGGCAGGTGCCTGTAATCCCAGCTACTTGGGAGGCTGAGGCAGGAGAATGGCGTGAACCCGGGAGGCGGAGCTTGCAGTGAGCTGAGATCCGGCCATTGCACTCCAGCCTGGGCGACAGAGTGAGACTCCGTCTCAAAAAAAAAAAAAAAAAAGAAAATATCACTTGAGCTTGGAGATTGAGGCTGCAGTGAGCTGTGATTGCACCACTGCATTCCAGCCTGGGTGAGAGAGACCACATCTCAAATATAATAATAATAGTTTTACTTTTTTTATTCTTCCTGTATATCACAAGCAATATGAAGGATAATGACCCTTACTGATTTTTATATTCACTACAGTACCTAAAACAGTGCTTTGAACCCAGTGAGTGTTCAGTAAAAGTTTATTGAATTGAATGCATTTGTTCTAGCCTTATTGAAAGGTACAACTAAAACATGCAACACTGTGATTGTTAATACAAGTCACCATCCTGACATACTTGGTTGTTTTTTTTTTTTCCTTTTTTTCATAGGCAGTAGTTAGCATCCTCACACACTTAACTGTGTAGAGCCAGTACAGATCTAGGTGAATAGTGCGATTACTTTTCTCTTTTTTGTAAGAGACAAGGTCTTACTCCGTCACCCAGGCTAGAGGGCAGTAGCATGATCATAGCTTATTGCAGCTTTGAATTCCTGGGCTCAAGCGATCCTTCTGCCTCAGCCTCCCAAGTAGTTGGGACTGTAGGCATGCACTACCAAGCCTGGCTAATTTTTAAATGTTTTTGTAGAGATGGAGTCTTACTGCGTTGCTCAGCTAGGCTTGAACTTCTGGCCTCAAACAATCCTCCCTCCGTGACCTCCAAAAATTCTGGGATTACAGACATGAGCCGCTGTGCCCAGCCCTACAGTATAATTTCTTTGAACATTTATAGAATTAGGGAGAATAGGACATGTCCATGTCGTGGTCACATCTTAAGAGTGATAAAACTGGAGTAAGCAGTGTTTTGGGTTTGGTTTGGTTTGGTTTGATTTTCCAAATCTAGTTTAAAGTTTTTCCCTTTGGTAGTAATTACTTGTTCCTAATAGCAGGGCCTTCAGCAGTAGGACAGTTATATAGTAAAACAATAGGTAGATTAGCAAACTCAGACGTAGCCAAAAGTGGGAAAGGAAGAGGTCAGAAAGCGGGGTAGTTGACCCATTCTGGGCAGGTCTAGAGACTGCACACATGAAACGGTGCTGCTCCAGTTCACTCTCGTTTCAGCCTGTCTGCCAAACTCAAATGGTTTCATTGCCATGTCTGAGCACATCCTTGGAGCTAAAATGGTGTGATTCGGAGGAGATACTGCTGAAGACACTGAGCCCTGCTAGGTGTTTGGTGTGTGATTCCCATTGCTCTGGCCAGGCAGTCATGGGATTATTCTTCACCATTTCCTTTTTTCTAGGTGTACGTGGTTGGGAATGAACCTTTAACAGTTTTGATGGATTCTCTGCTTCCTGTCCTGGGAGTGCTTTTTCTTCTCTACTGTTTTACTAAGCAGAGTGTATCTCACATAAGGTAAACAATCAAGGGACCCTTATTTGTTTATAAATAGAATCTTACTTGTTTATAAATGGTGACGTCTTTTTTGCATGTCGTTTTTGTTCTTATTTTGAATTTATGTTTGCCACTTTGAAATTATCATTTCCTTTCAAAGTCAGGAAAACACTGGGATCTTCCTATTTTGCTTATCTGGAAAAGAACAAGAATTTTGCAGATCACAGGGCATTGGATACAATTTTTAGAATGACTTTCCTCAGCCTCTGTCCTAAATCTCAAAGACAAAATCTCTGTTTACATGTGTAAACATGCCATTTTTCGATCAGTGAGAAATAACTGCAATTACATGTCTAGGAAGGAGGAAATAGGGGATGGATCATAATGACCTTGTGGGGAGTTAGAAAACATGTTTGGGAAATCTAGATCTGAATGTGGCACTTTGTATTTAGCCTGGGATTTGGTGTTAGTGATAAAGTGTGTTGTTTAGAAGGAAGGGATTTCTTAGTCATCCAGAAAATACTCCTTTGTCATAGAATTTAAGTAGGATTCATTTTATATCAGCTATATTTTCACATTAATTTATGTTGTTTCTTCCTCCAGGTAAGAGTTATCTTATCTCAAGTCCTACAGAATTATGATTTTTGGTGTTTGGAGAGCCTCACATGTAATCCAATATACAATAATAGTATCTTCTTCACAAAGTTATTGTGAAGACTCAGTATGCATTAATATGTTTAGCACAGTCCCCGGCAAATAGTAAGCTCAATAAATGGTAGCTATCATTATCACCATTGCTAAGTGGTGAAGGAAGACACCATCTTTTGTACTATTCAAAGCTTACATAGTGCCCTTGGCTCTTTAGCTTGAGTCAGCACGTCACTGTAGCCCACAGCCACAATGGCAATGACAAGAGAACACAGTGGAAGAGGGAGGCTGTACATGTGTGAACTTGGTTTCAAGGGACAGTCCACAAAATAACTCTTGGGTTTTTTTTTGTTTGTTTGTTTTTTGGTTTTTGTGTTTTTTTTGAGACAGAGTCTCACTCTGTTGTCCAGACTGGGGTGCAGTGGTGCGATCTTGGCTCACTGCAACCTCCGTCCCTGAGTTCAGGTGATTCTTCTGCCTCAGTCTCCTGGGTAGCTGGGATTACAGGCACTTGCCACCACGCCCGGCTAATTTTTGTGGTTTTAGTAGAGATGGGGTTTCACCATGTTGGCCAGGCTGGTCTCGAACTCCTGACCTCAGATGATCCACCCGCCTCAGCCTCCCAAAATGCTGGGATTACAGGTGTGAGCCACCACGCCTGGCCTCTGGTTTTTGTTTTAAAACTCAAGTCCTCACAGCACTGTCATGTCCTCATCAGAGACAGACAAGGAACATGTGAACATTGATTTAGTTCCTATTCTAGTTGATTGATACAGATGAAAGGAGTTGAAGTATCAGCAATATTTTGTTGGTATGCAGTTTCTTGGTCTCCAGCTATTGGTCTTGCTGAGAGTAGATGATTTTTATCCGTGTGTACTTTCTTTGACAGTACCTGATGCAAAGGCAGTAGTACACTTGGAATTACCGAAAAAAAAAAAAAGAAATCACGTGGGGCTTATGTGGCAAATCAGGGTTGCTGCCAGAGCCAAGGATTAGTCAGTCAGTCATTGAATTTCAGGATATTTGCATTCTGAAATTCACAAGAAGCATACTTTCCACTCCTGCATTTCAGTAGTACTAGGAGATCGTGCCAGCATTTAAAATGCAGTGGAACCTGACAGCCTTTCTTTCTTTTTTTATGTTAGCTTGTTAGATGCATGGAGTAAGATGACAAGCTCATTCATAACTGCTTTTTCTGCCAGGTCACTTTGCCAAGAAATCTTATTATGGATTCTGGGGAAGCTGGAAAGGAAGAAGGCAATTGCCAGCCTGAAAGGATTTGCAGGGTTGGACAAAGCTGTGCCCTCTCTCCATTCTCTGTGTCAGTTTAGAGCTGCCACTCAAGGTGGCATTATGATTACCATCAAAGAGGCCTTTAGGTGAGTCCACCCATCCATTACTGTCTCTCTTCAGATTTAGTTCTGCCCAAAAGGCCATTCAGTCATTCAACCACTAAGGGGCGCTGATAGAAAAGAAACCAGAAACTCAAGTGGCTGAGGTGCTTGCTGTTTATATTCTCTAAATGAAACGTAAGCCTTAAATAATCCTCCAGGTTTTTTCCCAAGATGCCTGCTAATAGTTGGTGCAATTTACTGGAGCCTCACAGCTCTGCATCACAACAAGCCCACTTATTCCACCATCTTTGCCAGTTAATCAGAGTAAAGGGCAGACACATGTTCACCTTTAACACCATAATAATCCAATTATCTTTCTGACTCTAAAAATGGTATATGTGTGTGTTTATCTTCAGACTTATTCCTGAGGGAAATTGTCCGATAGCTATCTTTTATGGTAATTTTATGATGGAGATTTGTTTGTTAGAAAGTGCTTAATAAATATTAGTGAAATGGATCATTTATTTATCCAACATCTCACAATTGCATATTTTAAATTATTTCCACTTTCTGGATGATCTAATGTTATTACCTCAGAACATAATTTCCTGTTGGTCATAGTCCATGTAATATGAACGGGTGACTACTATCCTGTTTGGATTTCACATCACATTCAAAGTGCTGCTGTTTGTTGAAGCGTTGAAATATTATTATATATTCATGGTTAACTTGGTAAAGTTTTAAAACACCCCTTCAGTTTGGTGGACTCGAGGAAAATAGAAAAACACATAGATTGCAAACAGAATCATCAGTACGAACTCAAGCTGCTATTCTGCCTAGCAACAGTTTATCAAGATGTTTTTGGCCAGACACGGTGGCTCACACCTGTAATCACAGCACTTTAGGAGGCTGAGGCGGGTGGATCACCTGAGGTTAGGAGTTTGAGACCAGCCTGGCCAACATGGTGAAACACCATCTCTATTAAAAATACAAAAATTAGCCAGGCATGGTGGTGCATGTCTGTAGACCTAGCTACTTGTGAGGCTGAGGCACAAGAATTGCTTGAACCAGGAGGTGGAAATTGCGGTGAGCTGGGATCGTACCACTGCACTCCAGCCTGGGCAACAGGGTAAGATAGTCTCAAAAAAAAAAGAAAAGAAAGAAAGAAGATCCAGGCATGGTGGCTCACACATGTAATCCCAGCACTTTGGGAGGCTGAGGTGGGTGGATCACTTGAGGTCAGGAGTTCAAGACCAGCCTGGCCAACATGGTGAAACCCGTCTCTACTAAAAATACAAAAATTAGCCAGTTGTGGGGGCTGGCACCTGTAGCCCCAGCTACTCGGGAGGCGAGGCAGGACTGTCACTTGAACCCGGGAGGTGGAGGTTGCAGTAAGCCAAGATCGTGCCACTGCACTCCCGCCTAGGTGACAGAGTAAGACTCTGTCTCAAAAAAAAAAAAAAAAGTTTATTTAAAGAAACTCTGTAAGAGCAGCTTAGATTTTATGATCTTTAGATCCAGAGTTTTTACTTTTCGGCAATTAAATATAATTGTTTGGAATTTACTCTTTATCATTGAATTTTTTTTTTTTTTTTTTTTTGAGACAGAGTTTTTGCTCTTGTTGCCCAGGCTGGAGTGCAATGGTGCGATCTTGGCTCACTGCAATCTCTGCCTCCTGGGCTCCAGCGATTCTCCTGCCTCAGCCTCCTAAGTAGCTGGGATTACAGGCATGTGCCACCACGCCTGGCTAATTTTGTATTTTTAGTAGAGACGGGGTTTCTCCATGTTGGTCAGGCTGATCTCGAACTCCTGACCTCAGGTGATCCACCCACCTCAGCCTCCCAAAGTGCTGGGATTACGGGCGTGAGCCACCGCGCCCGGCCTTATCGTTGAATTTTTAAGAGTGACTAAAGTAGTGCTTCTTAAGATAATTGTCATGTGTTTTTGTTTTGTTTTTGAGGCTTAGTGTTGCTCTATCGCTCAGACTGGAGTGCAATGGTATGATCTTGGCTGACTGCAACCTCCACCTCCTGGGTTCAAGCAATTCTCTTGCCTCAGCCTGCCGAGTAGCTGGGACTACAGGCGCTCGCCACCATGCCAGGCTAACGTCATGTTATTTTAGAAGTATTTGAATACAGTACTTCATTTTCACAATCAAAATGGCTCACAGAAGCTTAGAAGTGATGTTTATCCATTTTAGCTTTTCCTTCAACATAGAATGTTGTGGAGAAAACATGACTGATCTGAAGGACTCTGGAAGATTCTGGGATAATACAGGAAATATCCTAAGCTAAATGTATAGGTTATTCATTCTATTAGAGGAATAGGAAGTCCATGTTCTTTTTTTTTTTTTTTTTTTTTTTTTTGAGACAGAGTCTTGCTCTGTCGCCCAGGCTGGAGTGCAGTGGCGCGATCTCAGCTCACTGCAAGCTCCGCCTCCCAGGTTCATACCGTTCTCCTGCCTCAGCCTCCCGAATAGCTGGGACTACAGGCGCCCGCCACCATGCCTGGCTAATTTTTTGTATTTTTAGTAAAGGTGGGGTTTCACCGAGTTAGCCAGGATGGTCTCCATCTCCTGACCTCGTGATCCACCCGCCTCGGCCTCCCAAAGTGCTGGGATTATAGGTGTGGGAAGTCCATGTTCTTAGTGAACTGGCACACTGAGACATACTGCCTGATGAGATGGTCTGCCAAGTTAATAATTGTACTTTTCAGTGAGATGAAGAAACACCTGTCATTTTTTTTTCTCAATTTAGTCTGAAAAAATTTTGTGTCATTGGTCGCTGAAATAACACATATTCTTTTTATAATACAAAAAACATATAAAGAGGAAAACAAAAGTCAACTAGTATCTTATTTCCTGTTCACATTATTTTAGTGTTTTGCTTTTTGGTACATCTTCAATGCTTTTGTATTTGTTTATATGATGATATGGTATAATAATATAGTATCTTGAGCTGCGTATGGTGGTTCATACTGGTAATCCCAGCATTTTGGGAGGCCAAGGTGTGAGGATTGCTTGAGGTCAGGAGTTCAAGATCAGCCTGGGCAACATAGCGAGACCCCATTTCTTTAAAAAAAAAAAAAAAAAAAAGGGCCGGGCACAGTGGCTCATGCTTGTAATCCCAGCATTTTGGGAGGCCGAGACGGGCAGATCACATGAGGTCAAGAGTTTGAGACCAGCCTGGCCAACATGGTGAAACTCTGTGTCTACTAAAAATACAAAAATTAGACAGGCGTGGTGGCAGTTGCCTGTAATCCCAGCTACTCAGGAGGCTGAGGCAGGAGAATCACTTGAACCCGGGAGGTGGAGGTTGCAGTAAGCCAAGATTGCGCCATTGTACTCCAGCCTAGGTGACAAGAGTAAAACTCCATCTTTAAAAAAAAAAAAATTATAAAAAAAGTATGTACACACACACACAGGTGTGTGTGTATATATATATATATGTATACATGGTATCTTTGTCTTTTCACTTGTCAGAAGAATTAAAAACTAAAAGCCATAGTACCTCATGAGAAAGTACAAATATTTCTTGATCAGTCTGGGCAATATGGCAAAACCCGGTTTCTACCAAAAAATACAAATATTAGTTGGTTGTGATGGTGCACCTCTCTAGTCCCAGCTACTTAGGAGGCTGAAGTGGGAGGATTGCCTCAGTCTGGGAGGTTGAGGCTGCAGTGAGCCATGATTGTACCACTGTACTCCAGCCTAGGCAATGAGTGAGACCCTGTCTCAAAAATTTAAAAACAAAAAACAAAAAACAGCTGAGTGCAGTGGCTCATGCCTGTAATCCCAGCACTTTGGTAGGCCAAGGCGGGCAGATCACGAGGTCAGAAGTTCGAGACCAGCCTGGCCACCATAGTGAAACACTGTCTCTACTAAAAATACAAAAAATTAGCTGGGCGTGGTGGTGGGCGCCTGTAATCCCAGCTACTCCAGAGGCTGAGGCAAGAGAACTGCTTGAACCCGGGAGGCGGAGGTTGCAGTGAACCAAGATCGTACCATTGCACTCCAGCCTGGGCAACAAGAGCGAGACTCCATCTCAAATAAATAAATAAATATAGAAATTTTCGCGGTAATCATAGCACTGATTTAGCCATATTTTATAACTTGGTAATCACATTCAACCTACTCATTTTTCTGAACCTTTATGCATTTTCTTATCTCAGCTAATTGGTTCCTTTCAGTTGAGACTGCATGTCCTCCCATGATGATCACATATTTTTCTGCTGCCCATAACCCTTCAGTAGCTTATCAGAAAAAAGTCAAAGTTCTTTTGAATGACATCCAAGGCCCTCTGTGATCTAGCCTTACTTTACAGCCTTCTCTTTCTGTTTTTCCTCAGGACCCAGAATATCTGCATATGACTTGTATATACTTTAATTCCTCCTTGCTTTTGTAGAAGTAATAGTAATTCTCCAACATCCATCTTTTTTTTTTTTTTTTAGAAATGAGATCTTACCATGTTGTCTATGTTACTGGAGTTCAGTGGCTATTCAGTTGTGACCATAATGCACTACAACCTCAAACTCGTGGGCTCAAGCAGTCTTCCTGCCTCAGCCTCCTGGTACACTACAGGTGTGCACCACTGTGCCCGGCTAACATCCATCTTCATGAATCTTTCCCTATTTGAGAAAATGACCATGCAGGACATAACAACCTAGTTTCTGAGAATCAATACTTTTTTCAGAATGGAGAAATAGTAAAATAAGTTAAATAAATTTGGGGGATCTTTTTAATGATTAACTGTTTGGACATAACATGTTACTTTAGAAGATTGTTATGGGGTTTAAAATTATGTGTATCTCTGGTGACTCTGCCAAGATAAATTTTACCCTGCATTGCAGTGATGAAGATGAAGATGAAGATGAAGCCCTGTACCAGAAGGTATCCTCAGAGCAGGGCCGGGTAGAGCATCTCGGGGACTTGCTGTCCCACTGCCAGGAATGCGGTTTGGCAGGAGACTTCTTCATCTTCTGTTTGAAAGTAAGAACTACCTGTAATTCCTGGTCAGTGTTATTCCAGGGGAGTGCCAGGAAACCCTTTGAATTTTCAAAGCATTTATAATTTTAGATCTTAAAATGTAGGCCCTAATTTAAGGAAAGCGATCAGAGGACATAAAGGAATTTATTTTTTTAGTAGCCTTTGGACTGGTAAAAAGAAGAAACTTTTCTTCACTAGTACTCATGTTATCTACTACTTCCCCAAATAATCGGCACTGGCAGTTTAGAGATGAACAAAGCAGAACCCTCGATCTATGAAAGGGTTAATCTTTGCTCTGTGTTGACAGTAAGAACTCTTTTGAAGTTAATAGCAGGTTTTACAGCTATAGAGTAATCCCTTATCCTTTCTGACTGTTGTTTTGTCAGGTATTTGCAAAGGAGATTTAGCAATTCTGCTTCCTACATTTCATTTTGCAGGCACCTGAAGCCTTTTCCGGGTTTGTTTCTTAGTGCCAGTGGTTGTGCTTTGCTTGCTTTTCTTCTGTTCTCTGACAGTAACTTGTACCCCATACTGTTACTCCTTGTTGCACTGTATGACATCATAAGCCAGTGACCTCCAGCTCTGCCTTCTCAACTCTTTCCCCTAAATAAAGTGTCTACTCTAAAAGAGCTCTAAGAGAGTTTAAGGTTTCTGTAGGTATGGGAGAATTCAAGGAGGGAATCAGGGCTAACATTTCTAGAACTTGAAGTAGGGGACACTTTTTGATGCTTTCTTACCTCCCATGTTTACACCCATCCCCATGCCCAGCGATACTCTTTCTAAATAACATTCCAAGGGGATGTGCTCTTAATTGTATACTTAAAAAAAGGTGGCTCACTCCCAGCACTTTGGGAGGCCGAGCCAGGTGGATCACCTGAGCTCAGGCATTTGAGACCAGCTTGGGCAACATGGCGAAACCCCGTCTCTACCAAAAATACAAAAAATTAGCCTGGCATGGGGGCTTGTGCCTGTAGTCCCAGCTACTCGGGAGGCTAAGGTGAGAGGATCACTTGAGCCCAGGAGGCAGAGGTTTCAATAAGCCAAGAAGGATAGGTGAATAGCCTACAAAACCCACAGTAATACATAATTTCTTAGAAGTTAGTTCTAAGTATCTTAGAGGAAAAGAGCTGTAGTGCTGGAGGCATCTAATGGTCTCCAAAAGGGGTTTGAGAATGTGAGGTGATCTGAGGCTCAGTTCAAGGAAGGCCACTAGTAGAAATCATAGAAATACCCACAAAGCAGAAAGCTTGTCAAACTATTTCTTTGTGTGTGTGTGTGTATGTTTTTTATTGTGAGATTTTAAATTTTTATATACATGGTATCATACTGTATATATTATTCTGAAACTTACATTTTTCACTCAGTAGTGTTTTTTGAGATCTATGTATGTTGATACCCATATAAATCTAATTCATTTATTTTAACTGCTGTGATATTATAAATACATCATAATTTTTTCTTATTGCTGGACATTTAGCTTGTCTCCAAGTTTTGGCTATTATAAATAATGTTGCAACAAACACAGACTATTTCTTTAAACATGCAGTTCAAACAGAGTTTTCTACTTATGTTTGAGAAGGCCTTAGTTCTCCTGGCTTTATCTTCACTTTTTCTTTCCTGCCATGCTTGTAGGAGTTGACTCATGTGGCCACGGAAAATGAAACAGGGTTAAAAACTGAGCCCTTCTCCAGCAAGAGCCTCTTGGAATTAGAGCAATATCAGACTCTTCTTGTGGAAGGCCAAGAGCAGAAGCTGCTTGTCCTGCAGCTGATAGCTGTTCTGTGCGAGAGAATGTCTGAGCAGATATTCACAAATATCACTCAGGTCAGTAGTTGCCACATTCTGGACCCTAGCCTTTTTTTCTTTCCAAAAAATATAGTTTAAAAATGTTGCTGAGAGTGTGATTTGATGACACCTGGATCGTGAGGTGTTTCCTGGAATGCTGGTTAAATATGGAAACTACACAGCCCACACCAGGCCACTGAATCCAAAGCGTTCCAATGTCCTGAGACTCCACACGTTTAACAAGCTCCCGAGGTGATTCTCATGCACATAAAGTTTTGTCTTAAATGTTTATATGTTATGTTATAGTAGTTTTCAACTTTGGGTGCAAAAAAAGTTATCTGGGATCTTTTTCAGTATATTGATAGCCAGCCCACGTTTAGAGATTCTGATTCAGCATGTCTGCATTAGAGCCTGGGCATCTTTGTCCTACTCAAGCTCCATGGATGATTCTAATGTGTATCAAAACTTGAAAATGATTATACACTCAATTTGAAGAAAAGAAACCACTAATAATAGTGAGATTACCTTGAATTTTATTATAGGTCCTCTTACTCACAGTTATCTCCACAACATTCTGTAAAGTTTTAAGATGTTTTAAAAAATGCTTTTAGAGGAGTATCGTTATGCGAGTCAGTGCCTGAATTTTATTGGCTCAGACATTATTTTTCCCACCTTTAAAAAAGACAGGAAATAAAAGTAACAAAGCAAAGGCAGTACAGTCGCCAGATTTTACCACTTAACTAGAATTAGTTGTTGCTTGGTTGGTCAATAGGCAGTTGTAAGATGGCATGATTGTCACGCTTAAATCTGATTCTCCAGCTCTTTGTATGGTCGTCATTGTCATCTGCCTTCGGGTGTTGCTAAGCAGCCTTTCACTATAGCTCCTGCTGAGAAAATTTGCAGCTGCCTGTCAGCTCTGACTTACCGTGCCTGTTTAATGAGAATTATGCTCATGATTTCTTTCCTGGCCTCTTATTCTTTCAGTTCACTGACCCCGTGTTACTCAGTAGGGTGATTTGTTTCTCCTGTGTTTATATCCATTCCCTGAAGACTTTTTCATCCAGACCTTATGTTTTTGTCTCAGGATGCTAGTTGGAAGGGGAAATGGTCTAAAAACTGATATGACTTGCGCTTTTGCACTTAGTTCCCTTTACTCCTAATTAAGGAATAATGGTGTCAGGCTGGTACAAAAATGATTTGTCCCATTAAATTATCCTTCAGCTAAGGTTAAAATGTATCAGGGCAAAAAGAACCACAAGGAAATATTAAATTGCATTTGGTAATCTCACTGCTAGTGATAATATTGGTATATTATTTTATTTTATTATTATTTTTTTGAGACGGAGTCTCACTCTGTCACCCAGGCTGGAGTGCAGCGGCGCAATCTCAGCTCACTGCAACTTCCACCTCCTGGGTTCAAGCAATTCTCCTGCCTCAGCCTCCCGAGGAGCTGGGATTATAGGTGTGCACCACTGTGCCCAGCTGATTTTTGTATTTTTAGTAGAGATGGGGTTCACCATGTTGGCCAGGCTGATCTTGAACTTCTGACCTCAGGTGATCCACCTGCCTTGGCCTCCCATAGTGCTGGGATTACAGGCGTGAGCAAAAGCACCCAGCCATTATTGGTATATTATTTGGAAATACACACATAAAGAAAATAAGTTAATTTTGTGAATATTATTAGGAATCAAGATTTTTAGCATTAAAAAAGAGATATAAAGAACCAGAATAAAGACCCTATAATTTATTTTATTTTATTTTAAGAGACAGAATCTCACTATGTTGCCCAGGCTGGACTTGAATTCCTGGGCTCAAGTGATTCTCCTACCTCAGCCTCCCAAGTAGCTGAGACCACAGGTGCACACCACCATGCCCAGCTTAAAACCCTGTAATATTGAATTTCAGTTGGAAATATTAGTATGAACTCATGATTTATTTTTCTCTTTTTAAACAATAGATATTTCCAGCTCAGTCCATTGTCAATCCCAAGAAGCAATGACAACCCAGTGTCAATAAGCGTTGGTAGAGACAATATACAGTTTCTTTTTCTTTTTGTTTTTTTTTTTGAGACCGAGTCTGACTCTGTTGCCCAGGCTGGAGTGCAGTGGTGCAATCTCGGCTTACCACAACTTCTGCCTCCCTGGTTCAAGTGATTTTCCTGCCTCAGCCTCTGGAGTAGCTGGGATTACAGGTGCCTGCAACCACGCCCGGCTAGTTTTTGTATTTTTAGTAGAGATGCGGTTTCTCCATGTTGATCAGGCTGGTCTCAAACTGCCAGCCTCAGGTGATCTACCTGCCTTGGCCTCCCAAAGTGCTGGGATTACAGGCGCCTGGACTTAATGTTATTAATAAACTAAAGAGTTTATTATTAAACCAAACTAAAAGTGGTTGCTTCTGTAGAGCCTGAATCAGATGGGAAGAAATTATGTAGGGCACTGCTGTTTTTCACTATAAGCTTTTGGGAATATTTGGCTTTTGAAATTATGTACGTTTATAAGAAGTTTTAAGTAAAAAGTAAAGGTCTGTCCCCACTCTCCACAGCATATATAAATTTTAGAACAGGCTTCGGTCCCACACCTATTCTTGTGGCTGGCAGCCCCACCAAAATCACAGGAAATGTGTAGTAGGTGGAGGAGCTGCTGTCCAAATGGGTAGGGGATTTTGGTGTTAACACTAAGAATGTTTGGCGGAAAGTGTACTTCATAGATGACAATGATAGCTGGCTATCTCTTTACAGTTAACGGTTCCCTGTTTTTTGTTTTTTGGTTTTTTTTACATACATACAAACATAGAAAGTGTCTATTTTAGTAATAGGATCATACGACTTGTTTTGATAGCTATACACACACACACACACACACACACACCCCCGTGGAGGCCGGGCGCAGTGGCTTATGCTTGTTATCCCAGCACTTTGGGAGGCTACCCACGAGACTGAGGCAGGAGAATTGCTTGAACCCGGGAGGTGGAGGTTGCAGTGAGCCGAGATCACGCCACTGCACTGCAGCCTAGGCAGCAGAGCTAAACTCCATCTCAAAAAAAAAAAAAAACTGGAGAGGAATTTAGAGACAGTTGGAAGGCTAAATAATCCTAGTTGAGTAATTTAGAAATGCTTTATTTATTTTTTGTTATTGTTGTTAGAGACAGGGTCTCACTCTTTGTCACCCAGGTGGGAGTGCAGTGGTGCAGTCACAGCTCATTGCAACCTTGAACTCCTTGGTTCGTGCAATCCTCCTACCTCAGCTTCCTGAGTAGCCAGGACTACAGGTGTGTGCCACTGTGCCTGGCTAATTTTTAAATTTTCTGTAGAGATAGGTCTCACTTTATTGCCAGGTTGGTCTTGAACTCCTGGCCTAAAGTGATCTCCTGCCTTGGCCTCCCAAAGTATTAGGTTACAGGCGTTAGCCACTGTGCCCAGCTAAGGAGTGCTTTAGAAAACTCCCTGGAGGCAAAATAGTTGGCCCAAGATAGTAGAAACAGTTTCTACCTAGTGTTTCTAGAAAGGGCCAGTGTCCTTATCTTCTAGTATGAATAAAATCTTAGGGATGGAGGAGGTGGTGAAAACTGCCATAAACAGCATTATTCATTTCAGTAAGTGGAACTTTTAATAACCTTTCTAGTTTCCTGCATTGCTTCAGAAGACAAGTGTTAACAAGCCATTCTCCTGACTTTAAGCTTGCAATAAAGATTCTAGCACAGCATGTGATTTGTCCAGAGAATTAAACATGCAAGCTTGCATGTTATTTGGAGGCTTATTATGACCTTCTCAGCCTTTCCATTTCTAAAATGATTTCTCTCTTTTGAGTTATTAATCCTAAGTATGCATGTGTGTGTACACGCATGTGCATTTGTGTGCTGTCATTTATTCAAAGGTGTTTTTACTTAAGGTGATTAATCCAAATGCATTGAAAATGATGCTGACCAAATTAATTCTATTTAAAGCTTAGTTGTTAGCCAAATGCTATATAAAGTCTTTTCTAGGAACAATCTTAATCCTTTCAACTATTTAATACTTAAAAAAAGACTCTAGATCAGGGGTCTCCAACCCCCAGGCCACGGACTGGTACTGTTCTGTGGCCTGTTAGGAACCCGGCCTCATAACCGGAGGTGAGCAGCACACAAGTGAGCTGTACCACCTGAGCACCGCCTCCTGTCAGATCAGCAGCAGCATTAGATTCTCATAGGAGCGCGAACCCTATTGTGAAATGTGCATGCAAGAGATCTAGGTTGCACAGTCCTTATGAGAATCTAACTAACACCTGATGATCTGAGGTGGCATAGTTTCATCCTGAAACCATTCCCCACCCCTCTCCCCCTCCCGCCTTTGCCAACCCTGGTGTGCGGGAAAATTGTCTTCCATGAAACTGGTCCCTGGTGCCAGAAAGGTTGGGAATCACTGCTGTCAATCATTTGCACAAATGGTTCGAAGACACTGACTTCTAGATGAAACTGAACACTACCCCTCCATTCTTTACTTACTAGAATTAGACTGTCAAAATGTCAGGAGTGAGTCAGGGCAGGAATCCCTGAGGAGGAAACCTCCTTTTGAGAAGCAGATCCAGGACCCCCTGACATAGTCAGAAAGTAACAGGTCATTTTTTATAAGGAGAGTTTATTTTTTAGAGCAGTTTTAGATTTCACAATAAAATTGAACAGAAGAGACAGAGATTTCCCTTACACTCCCTGCACTCACACAACATAGCCTCCCCCATTGTCAACATCTCCCACCAGAGTGATGCATTTTTTACAGCTGATCAGTCTACATTGACACATCACCACCCAAAGTCCATAGTTTACATTAGGGCTCGCTCTTGGCGTTGTACAAACTATGGATTTGGACAAATTTGTAATGCCATGTATCCACCATGATGATATCATACAGAATAGTTTCACCACCGTAAAAATCCTCTGTGCTCCACCTGTTCTGTTCTCCCTCTCTCCTAACCCCTGGCAACCCTTGATCTTTTTACTGTCTCCATAGTTTTGCCTTTTCCAAAATGTAATATAGTTGAAATCATACAGCATGTAGCCTTTTCAGCTTGGCTTCTTTCCCTTAGTAATATGCATTCGAGGTTCCTCCGTGTCTTTTCATAGCTTGATTGCCCATTTTTTGGTGCTATTTTTCCATTGTTTGGATGTACCACAGTTTATTGATGCATTCACCTACTGAAGGGCATCTTGGTTACTTCAGGTTTTAACAATTATAACTAGGGCTGCTGTAAACAACCATGTGCAGGTTTTGTATGGACATAAGTTTTCAACTCATTTGAGTAAATATCAAGGCAAGCAATGGCTAGATTGTATGGTGAGAGTATGTTTAGTTTTGTAAGGAAGTGCCAGACGGTCTGCCAAAGTGGCTGTACCATTTTACATTCCCAGCAGCAATGAGTGAATGAGAGCTCCCGTTGATCTCCATCCTCACCAGCATTCCTGGTGAAATCAGTTCTCTGGATTTTGGCCATTCTGTTAGGTGTGTAAAAGTATATCAACAATGTTTTCATTTCCAGTTCTCCAATGCCATAGGATGTGGAGCATCTTTTCATATGCTTTTTTGCCATCTGTATATTTTCTTTGGTGAGATATCGGTTTAGGACTTTTGCTCTTTTTTAATTGGGCTCTTTTCTTTTCAAGATAGGATCTCTTTCTGTTACATAGGCTAGAGTGCAGTGACACCATTGTGGCTTACTGCAGCCTTGACCTCCTGGGCTCAAGCAATCCTCCCACCTCAGTCTCCTGAGTAGCTGGGACTATAGGCACTTGCCACTCTGCCTGGCTAATTTTTTTTTTTTTTTTTTTGAGACAGGGTCTCACTCTGTTGCCCAGGCTGGAGTGTAGTCTCAGCTGCAGCTGGTGCTGTCTCAGCTCACTGCAACCTCCGCCTCCTGGTTCAAGCGATTCTTCCACCTCAGCCTCCCGAGTAGCTGAGACTATGGGTGTGCCACCATGCCCGGATAATTTTTTGTAATTTTTTGGTAGAGACAGGATTCACCTTTTGGTCAGGCTGGTCTGAACTCCTAACCTCAAGTGATCTACCCACCTCGGCCTCCCAAAATGGTGGGATTACAGGCATGAGCCACCATGCCCAACCCGAGTTTTCTTATTATTGAGCTTTAAGAGTTCTCTGTAAATTTTGGAAAACAGTCCCTTGTCAGACTGTTTTGGATGAATATTTTCTCCCTGTCCGTGGCTTCTCTTTGTATTCTCTTGACAGTGTCTTTCGCAGAGCAGGAATTTTTAACTTCAGTGAAGTCCAGCTTATCATTACTTTCTTTCACGGATTGTGCCTTTGGTGTTGCATCTGAAAAGTCCTCACCATACCCGCGACCATCTAGATTTTCCATGGTAGCTGCTAGGAGTTTATAGTTTTGTATTTTGCATTGCAGTCCATGATCCATTTTGAGTTCATTTACAAGTCATTTTGCTTTTTAATTTTCAGGCAAAATTCATGCAAAGTAAAGGAAGTTGGAGTAGCATATTAAAACATTTGGAAAAGTATAAATAGGCTTTCTCATTTATTAAGTGTATGGCCTTAAACAAACAACCTTTTAAAGTCTCAGATTCTTCATTTCATAATGAGGATGATAGCACTGACCTCCTAGAGTTGAGATGAGAACTAAGTGAGATTGTACACATGAAACACTTGGGAGCTTTCCGCTTGCTGAACGTGTGGAGATGCTGGGAATGGGGCTAACCCAGAGAGGGCATGGAAGCTCCACCCCCACCCACTTGTCCTATCCATCTGTCTGTTCATCAGCGTACTTTGTAATAACCTTTATAATAAACCAGTAAATGCTATTAAAAAAAAATAGCAAAACACTGAACTTCACACCTGCATGATAAGTAGCAATTGTTCTGGATGGTTCTTGCTATCATGATGTAGATAAAGAAGATGAGGATGTAGACATAAGATGTAACGAGAATTTTGATTTTTTAAATTATTATTCCTCATTGATTCTCAATTCCCTTTTTTTGGTAGGTGGTGGACTTTGTAGCAGCGACATTGCAGAGAGCCTGTGCAAGCTTGGCCCATCAGGCAGAGAGCACCGTGGAATCACAGACGCTGAGCATGTCTATGGGGCTGGTGGCTGTCATGCTGGGAGGAGCTGTTCAGGTGAGTTGTAGACATGAGCCAAGCTTGAATGGAGGGAAGGGAGAAGCAAAATACCAGTTGTTTTCCTTCCATACCCTTGTGAGAAATAAGAATGGATATTGTACATAGGAGAACCAGAATAAAGAAGTTAGTTTGTTAATGAGAATTCTCTCCAAAGTGGAGAACAAGAAAGTTGCACCGTTTCCACTCTGTCACCTGAATAGACTTCACTATCAGAAGGGAAGGGTCCTCTCTACCTGTTACAATCTGAATCTGGGAACATCTAGCCTGGTGTTTTGCATCTGAGGTGAATAGTAGATTTTCTGGCCCTCACTCTCCGAAGCCCAGCCCTTGTTTCTGCTACTGTTGTTGGGGAAAGTCCTTAATAACTTGCTGGTTGCATAAGATCCATCTATTTTGAATGCTTCATTTTAGCACAGGATTCATTCTTCATCCCACATCAGGTAGCATGTTAAAGCTTTGCTTCTCGCCACTTTTAAGTGTGTATGTCCTTTACATACCTAATTTATAATTTTTTAAGTTTTTTTTTTAAACATTACATATTGGCTGGGTGCGGTGACTCACTGAGCCTGTAATCCCAGCACTTTGGGAGGCCGAGGTGGGTGGATCACCTAGGTCAGGAGTTTGAGACCAGCCGGGCCAACATGGTGAAACCCCGTCTCTACTAAAAATACAAAAAAAAGTAGCTGGATGTGGTGGTGGGCGCCTATAATCCCAGCTACTTGGGAGGCTGAGGCAGGAAAATTGCTTGAACCCGGTAGCTGGAGGTTGCAGTGAGCTGAGATTGTGCCATTGCACTCCAGCCTGGGTGACAAGAGCGAAACTCCATCTCAAAAAAAATTAGAACAAAACAAAACAAACAAACAAACAAAACTACATATTGCATACTCATGTGCCACACATACTAAGCTAGGGTGCTGGGAATACAGCAGGGGACAGGGCAGACCCTCATGAAACTTGCAGTCCAGTAAGGAAGTCAGACACTAAACGGCTGTTTGGAAATGTACTTAGAATTGAATGAAGGGCCTCAAAAGAGAAGTGGTGGGTACCAAGAGCACATAACATCTAACCTAGGCCGGGAATATTTCCACTGAGGAAGTGTAAGCGTAAGCTAAGATTTGAAGGAAACTCTTTCAAGTAAGGAAAACATCACGTACAAAGGCTTAGAAGCAGCAAAGAGCTTGGTATACTTGAGACACTGATAGAAGGCTGGTGTTGGTGAATTGTAGAGACCAAGGGGAAGAGCATGCCAGCAAGGACAAAAGATAGGCAAGGGCTAGACCATGCATGTGTGTGTGACTGGCTGATTACATACCAAATTAGGTGAGGAGTCTGCAGGAAAGCAGAATAGGCTTAGTGTGAGTCTTACGAAATCCACCCTGAAGCCAATCTGCTCAAAACCCTTAGCAATGAGTAGGATACCCTCTGGGAATGGATTTTTGAGCTTGAGGATTCAAATCTGATTCTGATTCTTGACGTATTAGAATATGCCTTTCACTAGCCTATCAAAAAGGAAAAGGAATTTTATCTGGGCCTGTTATTAGTGTGAAGCCCATTTCTTGGTAGATTTACTTAGCACTTCTAATATATATTTTCCACATTGTTTGGGGGAAAAAAAAGCTTTTGGTTCAGTTTCTAGCACCATAGTATACCCTTGCTGTTAGAACTATCAAGGAAAATTTCACTGATGGAATCATTTTTCTTTTTTTTGAGACAGTCTTACTCTGTCGCCCAGGCTGGAGTGCAGTGGCACAGTCTCGGCTCACTGCAGCCTCCGCCTCTGGGTTCAAGCAATTCTCCTGCCTCAGCCTCCCAAGTAGCTGGGATTACAGGCATGCGCCACCACACCTGGCTAATTTTTGTATTTATTGTAGAGACAGCGTTTTGCCATGGCGGCCAGGCTGGTCTCAAACCCCTGACCTCAGGTGATCCACCTGCCTCGGCCTCCCAAAGTGTTAGGATTACAGGTGTGAGCCACTGTGACTGGCTGGAATCATTTTTCTTTTTTTTTTTTTTTTTTGAGACGGAGTCTTGCTGTGTCACCCAGGCTGGAGTGCAGTGGCCGGATCTCAGCTCACTGCAAGCTCCTCCTCTCGGGTTCACGCCATTCTCCTGCCTCAGCCTCCCGAGTAGCTGGGACTACAGGCACCCGCCACTTCGCCCGGCTAGTTTTTTGTATGTTTAGTAGAGACGGGGTTTCACCATGTTAGCCAGGATGGTCTCGATCTCCTGACCTCATGATCCGCCCGTCTCGGCCTCCCAAAGTGCTGGGATTACAGGCTTGAGCCACCGTGCCCGGCCTGGAATCATTTTTCTTAAGTTGTATTCTTATTGGATTTAGTTGGCCAAATTGATTTTTGTTTTTCTGGTTGAATATTAAGTTGAATAGTCTTTTTTTTGGCTTGTCTTTACTTCACACTTATTTCAAACCACATCCCAAATGGAAGATAGATCACAGAAATCTCCATTTCCCTTTCTAAAAGCCCATTGTTAGAGGGCTGGCTGTGCATGTTAGTTGTATTCTAAGACAGACTCACCTGACTGATGTCAAGGTTATACCTTGCAGGCCCCTGCCTTTCTGTGAGCCATCCTGACTCACTGATTACATCCGGCATTCCTCTGACTTTGCAGTTAGTTAAGTGAACATAAGCACGTCACCCCCTTTATCTTTGGCCTAAATCTGCTACTTTTTTTCTGTTTGAATCATGGATTTGTAAATGGCTTCTATAGTAATGCTGGATTTTCTTTCTTTGTATTAAAAAAAAAAAAGTCATGGTTCTGAATTGTGTTTTCAGTTAATTGTTGTCAGGCCAACAATATACTGTTTTTTCCTATCCCTTATTAGGATTCATTGTTTTGGCTAATGAAAAAAGAATCTAACATCATCTGAACCTTTTTTATTTCTTTCTAATTTATATAATCAAAGTGATTATTAGAACATCGTGTCTGGGAAGAGGAGTTAATTTGGAAAAAGCGTGTATTTAAGACTGCTGACAAAAAATAAAAAATAGGCCGGGCGCGGTGGCTCAAGCCTGTAATCCCAGCACTTTGGGAGGCCGAGACGGGCGGATCACGAGGTCAGGAGATCGAGACCATCCTGGCTAACACGGTGAAACCCCGTCTCTACTAAAAAATACAAAAAATAAAACTAGCCGGGCGAGGTGGCGGGCGCCTGTAGTCCTAGCTACTTGGGAGGCTGAGGCAGGAGAATGGCGTAAACCCGGGAGGCGGAGCTTGCAATGAGCCAAGATCGCGTCACTGCACTCCAGCCTGGGTGACAGAGCAAGACTCCGTCTCAAAAAATAAAAATAAAAAATAAAAAATAAAAAGGCCAGGCGCGGTGGCTCATGCCTGTAATCCCAGCACTCTGGGAGGCTGAGGTGGGCAGATCATGAGGTCAGGAGTTCAAGACCAGCCTGGAAAACATAGTGAAACCCCATCTCTACTAAAAATACAGAAATTATCTGGGCATGGTGTGCATGCCTATAATCCCAGCTACTTGGGAAGCTGAGGCAGGAGAATTGCTTGAACCCAGGAGGCGGAGGTTGCAGTGAACTGAGACCGCCCCACTGCTCTCCAGCCTGGCAACAGAGTGAGACTCCGTCTCAAAACAAACAAACAAACAAAAATTTTTTTAAAAAAAGACTGCTGACAAGATAACTGTAATTCCAGGCTTATTTTCTAAATTTCAGAGTTAGTCACCACTGAAAATATTATACATTGGTTACTCCTCCCTGTCCCCTCAAGAAGCAGTTTCTGCACGATGTTGCATTGTCCGTTGGTCTCTAAAGCACGAAGCTGAGCAGACCATTCTAGACCTTCTTTAGGAAAAACTAAAACCATGTTGTTCCAGGGTGGCAGCAGAGCCTCTGGTTAAAAACTGGGCTCCAAATCTTTAAATCTAGATTCTATTGGGGCAGGGGCCCGTTATTGGGCGAGAAAAGGTGCGTCTCTTCTCTAAAGGGGAAGGAGTCTTTAGCTAGGTGTTAATCTACACTGCTTAGGTCATGTTTTTGATCAAAGGTCATTGCTCAGACTCTTCGGCAAAAAGGTCGCTATGAACATGGACTGTGTTTTAGGTGCTGTTCACTTACATATTAGATTCATTGCAAATGCTTAGGGGCTGGGGTAGAAGTAGTGGTAAGCAAGCTAGAGGTCTATTGCAGAATGGAGGAAGGTGAGAGGGAAAACCGCTGAAATCTGTTGCATGCTGGTGAGGCGAATTGGTTGATTCAATTCCTGTGCTAGAATGCTGTCCTTTCTCTTCACCGAGCCCAATTCGGATACTCTATAGATCTGCTTGTGAAAATTCCCATTATTTCTAGCTGTTGTGTAGAACTCCAAAGAGCAGACAATCCTTCTTAATTACTGTTACTTTCAAGCAGCCTCATTTAGAGATGTCTTACTTTCTGCCGTATTTAATAAACCTGCCACAGTAGGTACTTAATTAACAGTTTTTGAATGGATGGATAAATGGAAGGAAGAAAGAATAAAAAAAAGAAAGGAAAGATAATGTTTAACGAAGGACGCATGAATTTGTTTTGTTTTGTTTATCAAAAGGGTATGGGCTCAAAAAGTTGAAAAACACTGCCCTCACCCATAGTGAGCAATCTCCAGATCTGGACACAGCCATGGGAGTGTTGTGAATGTTAGTCATGTGTTATGAGGGGCAAAGGAGAGCCACGCTTCTTGTTTTCACAGGCTTTCACTTGATTATCCTCTAGGTAATCCAGTCTTTTCTCAGAATTTCCCTAGAGTGGAGAGGCATCCTTCAACCGCTTGTATGCAGGTGATCAAACTGGCTAAAAAAGCCCTTACTTGCAAACCACAGTGCCTCCAATTTTACAACTTAAAAAGAAAATGACTTTCCAGTTAACTAAGCTGACTAGTTCCATTTAATTCTTTTTGCTTTTGAGATTAAACCATCTATTTCTGGAATTGTCTTCATTCTGCTCATTTATACACATTGTTAAAGATTTTCAGAGCTTTGGCCAGGTGCAGTGGCTCACACCTGTAATCCCAGTGCTTTGGGAGGCTGAGGTGGGCAGATCACCTGAGGTCAGGAGTTCCAGACCAGCCCAGCTACTTGGGAGGCTGAGGCAGGAGAATTGCTTGAACCCGGGAGGTGGAAGTTGTAGTGAGCCAAGATCATGCCATTGCGCTCCAGCCTGGGCAACAAGAGCGAAACTCCCTCTCAAAAAAAAAGCTCCTCACCTGGGCACCGTGGCTTATGCCTATAATCCCAGCACTTTGGGAGGCTGAGGTGGGAGGATCACCTGAGGTCAGGAGTTTGAGACCAGCCTGGCCAAAATGGCAAAATCCCATCTCTACTAAAAATATTAAAAAATTAGCTGGGTGTGGTGGCGGGCACCTGTCATCCCAGCTACTCGGGAGGCGAGGCAGGAGAATCGCTTGAACCTGGGAGGTGGAGGATACAGTGAGCCGAGATCGTGCCATTGCACTCCAGCCTGGGTGACAGAGCAAAACTCTGTCCCCCCCCCCAAAAAAAAAATAAAAGCTCCTCAGATATCTGCTGCCACCCAATATATTTCCCTGGACAACCCCAGGGGCTAGATGTTCGATGAGTAAATACCCATCCAGGATGTGGGCACCTGGTTGTCCAGCCTGAGGCCAGGGATCCCAGCGCACACCTTTGATCAGGGAGGGATGAAGCTGGTGCTTCTGCCATGCCAAGGATTGAGAACTCTGTGGATGCAAAGGGGTGGGTGGGAGGCCAGGTGTGGTGGCTCACGCCTGTAATCCCAGCATTTTAGGAGGCTGAGGTGGGCAGATCACATGAGGTTAGGAGTTTGAGGTCAGCCCGGGCAACATGGCAAAACCCTGACTCTACTAAAAATACAAAAATTAGCCAGGCAGGTGGCCACACCTGGAGTCCCAGTTACTCAGGAGGCTGAGGTGGGGGAATCGCATGAACCTGGGAGGTGGAGGTTGGAGTGAGCCAAGATTGTGCCACTGTACTCCAGTCTGAGTAATAGAGCAAGACTCTGTCTCAAAAAAAAAAAGAAAAAATTGCAATTCCCTAATGACTTATGACATTGAGTATGTCTTCCTGTGCTTATTTGCCATCTGTATGTCTTCTTTTTTTTTTTTTGAGATAGAGTCTCACTCTGTTGCCCAGGCTGGAGTACAGTGGCACATCTCAGCTCACTGCAAGCTCTGCCTCCCGGGTTCACGCCATTCTCCTGCCTCAGCCTCCTGAGTAGCTAGGACCACAGGCGCCCACCACCACGCCCGGCTAATTTTTTTTTTTGTATTTTAAGTAGAGACAGGGTTTCACCGTGTTAGCCAGGATGGTCTCAATCTCCTGACATCGTGATCCGCCCGCCTCGGCCTCCCAAAGTGCTGGGATTACAGGCGTGAGCCACCGTGCCTGGCCTGCCTGTATGTCTTCTTTGGTAGGGTGGTGTTCTTTGGTAGACCTATCTGTTTAGGTCTTTTGCCCATTTTTAAGTCAGGTTGTTGATTTTCTTATTGTTGAGTTTTGAGAGTTCTTTGTATATTTTGGCGATTAGTTCTTTTTCAGATATGTCTTTTACAAATATTTTCTCTCGTTCTGTAGTTTATCTTCTCATTCTCTTGACAGTTTCTTTTGCAGAGCAGACATTTTTAATTTTAATAAGGTCCAGGTTTTTAGCTGTGTCTTTCATAGATCGTGCCTTTGGTGGTGTATTTAAAAGGTCATTGCTTTTAAGAGGTCATCTCAATTTTCTACTATGTTAACTTGTAGGAGTTTTATAGTTTTGTATTTGACAGTTAGGTTTATGACCCATTTCAAGTTAATTTTTGTGCAAGGTGCAAGGTCTTTGTCTAGATTCATTTTTTTCCCAAGTGCATGCCAGTTGTTCCAGCACCATTTCTTGAAAAAACTGTCTTTCTTTTTTTTTCTACTGACACTTAAAAAAAAAAAAAAAAGACTGTATTTTTTTTTTTTCCATTTAAAGCCTTTGCTCCTTTGTCAAAGTTCAGTTGACTCTATTTATGTGGGTCTATTTCTAGTCTTGCTGTTCTGTTCCATTGATCTATTTGTCTTGGCTGGTTTTTTTAAGAAGAAATTGTTATATAGAAGAGAAATGAAAAAGAGGCCAAATAGATTATAGATAAATTATTCTCATTTTAGATGCTTAAAAAAAGTCCACAATACAACAGAGGCCCTGAATGAAGTTTAGCATAATGATAATACTAGTAAAATTATTTGAAAATGTCTCAGCCGGGCGTGGTGGCTCACACCTGTAATCCCAACACTTTGGGAGGCCGAGGTGGGCGGATCACCTGAGGTCCAGAGTTTAAGACTAGCCTGGCCAACATGGTGAAACCCCATCTCTACTAAAATATAAAAAAATTAGCCGGGCGTGGCGGTGTGTGCCTGTAGCCCCAGCTACTCGGGAGGCTGAGGCAGGAGAATCATTTGAACCCAGGAGGTGGAGGTTGCAGTGAACTGAGATCACACCACTGCACTACAACCTGGGTGACAGAGCGAGGCTCCATCTCAAAAAAATAAAAAGAGAGAGAGAGCAAGAGAGAAAGAGAGAGAGAGAGAGAGAGAGAGAAAGAGGAAGCAAGGAAAGAAGGAAGGAAGGAAGGAAAGAAGGAAGGAAGGAAGGAAGGAAAAGGAAGGAAAGAAAAACAAAGGAAAGAAAAAGGAAAGATAAAGAGAAGGAAGGAAGGAAAGAAAGAAAGGAAAGAAAAAGAAAGAAATAAAGGAAAAGAAAGGAAAGAAGGAAGGAAGGAAGAAAGAAAGAAAAGAGAAAGAAAGAGAGAGAGAGAAAAAGAAAGAAAGAAAAGAAAAGAGGAAAATGTTTCTTCCAGTGCCACATAGATTCCAGAAAAAAATTGACCCTTTCCTTAAATAACATATATCTTTGCTTTGTGTATGTACTCTCTTCTTCCCTTAAGATATAGTAACCTCTGAATGTCAGTTGTTTTGCACATGAAGATAAACTAACATTCTGTGGAGGCAGAAACTCTATCTTATGTTGATTTTGCATTAGTTAGTAAATATGTAAACAAAACAATCTGAGTGTATAGTGAAATTCTAAGATACAAACCTGACATATACCTCAAATCTTCATTTACTTGGAGCATAATGGTGGGAACAATAACAAATCTGTGGACTTACAGTGTCAAATAACAATGTTATTTAGGTTCTACGAAAATGGTTAGTTGGTTGATTGGTTGGTTGGATAATGAAGTGAGGGAGTGAATGGTTAAGTAATAAATACTCTGCCTTGTTCTAAAAAGGATTTAAGCCGGGCATGGTGGCTCAAGCCTGTAATCCCAGCACTTTGGGAGGCCGAGGTGGGTGGATCACTTGAGGTCAGGAGTTCGAGACTAGCCTGGCCAGCATGGTGAAACCCCGTCTCTACTAAAAAAAAAAAAAAAAAAAAAAAAAAAAAAAGGCCGAGGTGGGTGGATCACTTGAGGTCAGGAGTTCGAGATTAGCCTGGCCAGCATGAGAAACCCCGCCTCTACTAAAAAAAAAAAAGGTTCAGGCGTGGTGGTGAGCGGCCTGTAATCTCGAGTACTCAGGAGGCTGAGGCAGGAGAATCAGCCTGAACTCAGGAGGAGGTTGGAGTGAGCCAAGATTGCACCATTGCAATCCAGCCTAGGCAGCAGAGCGAGACTCCAGTTCTAACAAGAAAAGAAAACAAAAATAAAAAACGATTTTTTTTTTTTTTTTGAGATGGAGTCTCGCTCTGTTGCCCAAGCTGGAGAGCAGTGGTGTGATCTCGGCTCACTGCAACCTCTGCCTCCTGGGTTTAGGCGATTCTCTGCCTCAGCCTCCCAAGTAGCTGGGACTACAGGTGCACACCACCATGCCCAGCTAATTTTTGTATTTTTAGTAGAGACGGGGTTTTGCCATGTTGGCCAATAAAAAGGATTTAAGATCTTTAAAGTATTCACATTTTCAGGGACTCCTGAAGCATCATCTGATAATTTCTCCAGTGTTTTCAAACAGAAAACTGTTATCATTTATTCTTACTTTTCATTGATTGTACATACACCTTTTGGGTGGCAGTGGGTGAGGGGGGTGCTTTCTAGTGAAGACCAGAAAACCTGCTAGACAAATTCTAAATGAGGTGTAACACTCATGCACCTTTCTTAGTAGTAAGGCATATGACATCATTTGGACAAAACTTCCATGGAGAATAAAATGTTATATAATTTTCACTTCTACTTTCCAGAAGAAATCCCTTTCTTCCCATTGTCTCCCTGATCCCTTCCAGATCTATGGTGCACTTGCATACTGGGCGGCCACTTTAGATCATGTAGTTAAGAACAGCCTTATCTTTTCAAGGGAGACTGTGTAGGGTATTGGGTAAGAGTGTGGGCTCTGATCCCAGTGTCTTGAGTTCACATCTTACTATCTTCCAGTTTGTGACCTTGGGCATGTTACTTAACCGTTCTGTTTCCACCTGTTTAAAATGTAGATAATAATAGTCATTATATCACAGGGATATTAATGTGTGTGTGTGTTTTATCTTAAAAAAGAACCTGTATATGATAAGTGTTCAATAAATGTTAGGTATGATTATTCAACAAATGGTATTGAGTGCTGGACCCAGGCAATGTACTGATTACACCATGAGCAAGATTTGATCCCTGCCCCTTTTTCTCAGAATATGTTTCCTGGTGCTCAGGTCATATTGACATTTGCTGTGTTAATTTGGGTTTGACATTTTTTACTTCATTTTGTAGTTGAAGTCAAGTGATTTTGCTGTTCTGAAGCAGTTGCTGCCTCTGTTGGAGAAGATATCCAACACATACCCTGATCCTGTCATCCAAGAACTCGCTGTTGATCTCCGCATCACCATCTCCACCCATGGAGCCTTTGCCACTGAGGCCATCAGCACGGCTGCGCAAAGTACACTGAACAGAAAAGATCCGGAAGGGAAAATAGAAGAGCAGCAACAAACCAGTTGTGAAAGACCCGCTGATGTAGCTCATAGCCACTTTGAACAACAGCAGAGCCATGAGATAGCCCCCCAGACAGGCCTGCAGTCAAATGCTCCAATCATTCCTCAAGGAGTCAATGAGCCCAGCACTACTACAAGCCAGAAATCTGGAAGCATAACCACAGAACAGCTCCAAGAGGTTCTTCTATCAACTTATGACCCTGAAATTCCAACACGGGCTGCTGCCCTGCGTACTCTTTCCTGCTGGATAGAGCAGAGAGAAGCAAAAGCCCTTGAGATGCAAGAGAAACTTCTCAAGGTGAGTAGAACACACTGTAAAGACACATGGGCTCAGGGTGGGGCAGCCATCGGGGAGCGTTCATTCAACTCAAGTATTTTTGGAGCCTGGACTATGTGTCAAGCACTGTTCTGGGCCACCCTCCAGAAATTTGTGAATTTTGTGAGGAGGCAACACTTAGATGCAGGAAAGACTTATTTAGACACAGGAAAGACTTAAACTCCTCAACTGAATATGAACCAAGTGCCAATTTTTTTTTTTTTTTTTTTTTTTTTTTTTTTGAGATGGAGTCTTGTTCTGTCCCTGAGGCTGAAGTGCAGTGGCACAATCTCAGCTCACTCCCGGGTTCACGCCATTCTCCTGCCTCAGCCTGCTGAGTAACTGGGATTACAGGCATCTGCCATCACGCCCGGCTAATTTTTTGTATTTTTAGTAGAGACAAGGTTTCACCATGTTAGCCAGAATGGTCTCGATCTCCTGACCTTGTGATCTGCCCGCCTCGGCCTCCCAAAGTGGTGGGATTACAGGCATGAGCCACCGCGCCTGGCCTTCAAAATTTTTGCATGAAAGAAATGCTGTGGGCAATCAGGAAAAAGAGAAAGTTGAAATCTTCTGGAGGATGTGGGTCTTATATGGCCATAATGAACCGGTAAAGTTTGAGCAGATGAAAGAGTGGTGCGAGAGCATGAGCAAATTCCCAGAGATGGGAAAGTACCTTTTGTGGTAAATAAGTCTGCTTCAACACTGTGACTCAACCCGGAGACGCCACCTGTTTTCCCTGGGCATCTTTAGTGGGGCATTGGGCAAAACTGGGTCTCCTCCCCTCTTTTCTCCCTCCCTCGTGGTGAAATAGCTGGGTTTTTTGGTTTGGTTTAGTTTGGTTTTTTGAGACAGGGTCTCGCTCTGTCACCCAGGTTGGAGTGCAGTGGTGCGATCTCAGCTCACTGCAACTTCCACCTCTTGGGTTCAAGTGATTCTTCTGCCTCAGCCTCCCATGTAGCTGGGATTACAGGTGCCCACCACCACACCCAACTAATTTTTGTACTTTTAGTTGAGATGGGGTTTCACCATATTGGCCAGGCTGGTGTTGAACTCCTCACGTCGAGTGATTCACCTGCCTCCGCATTCCAAAGTGCTGGGATTATAGGTGTGAGCCACCACACCCAGCTTTAAAATATCCTTTTATACCCCTGTTTGAAGGTGAATGCAATGAACATCTTGGAATTTTGTTTTAGCTTCATTAAACCTTCTTCTGCTGTACATAATTGGTCACCAAGTCCTGTCAATTATTTTTTCCAAGAGGTCTTTCAAATGTGTCTTATCCTCTTTATTTCCATGGCCATTACCCTAAATTAAACTTCCCTGGCTTACTCCATAAAAGATTCCCTACCTTCTGGCTGTCTTCCTAACTGGGGTAAGTTTAGGCTCTCCCTACATACTTCAGATGTGGAGACCAGCAGCCTCAAGTTGATGTCAAGAATTACTGTGCCAGCGAAGAACACAGCATTATATATGGAGCAGACACTTCCGTCTTCCTTTCTCTGGCTCTCATGTTGGGGCCTAAACCTAACATATCATGTAGTATCTTCCAGATAAGCTGTACTCACTGCAGTTGATACCCCTGATAGGTTCCTAAATTGTAAGATATTTTGAGAGTAATTTGTTACTAATGTCAATTAAAGTGCTGAAATTTACAAGATTTTCAAAAATAAATTAGATTCAAAGTTATCTCAATAATAACATCTCTATCTCACTTGCACTTCCATATGCTTTGTGAGTGCAAGAGAAAAGGATCAAATTACAGCAAATGTGCCATCCCTTGCACATAACCCCAAACCTTGTCTCTTGTGTGTCACAGCCCATAGTCTGTCATGCCATATGTGAGAATGTTATTCACCATGGCTGTCATGGAAAAATGTTGAGGATTGTTCTTCCATTGCTTTCCAGGACTACTGCTGGAAGAATACAAGTATCTCCCCCAATCTCTATCCTTTTTTTAACGGTTATAAAAATGAGACTTTAAGCATATATGCCATTTCCCCCACAAAACTCTGTCAGACGAGTTTCTAGCTAAGAAAAACACGAAGCAAAGCATTTACTCCTTTGAGCTGCTGATAAGGGAACTCTTCAATCTTCCTTATTCTTTGTAAATCTTATCACTGCTGTATTTTGTGGTTCCAGATATTCTTGGAAAACATGGAACATGAAGACACTTTTGTATATCTATCTGCAATTCAGGGTAAGTCAGTCCTGGTTAAAGGACTTTGAGTCTGTGGACCAAAGACTGTATCATGTTTATTTGCACAAAATCCCTAAAGTCCTAGTCCTCGGGTCATTTTATCCATCTTCCTGCCTCCTAGCTAGGACACTTTAAGTCATAATAATAATATTCCTGGATGGTTTCCAAAGGGTCCCTATAGAGTTTCAGTGTCTCATAATGATGAGGAAGTTTTTATTAATGTTTGTTTATTCTATAGCTTAAATTGTATTTCCTCTAATTCAAGAAGGTAAAGAATGACTCACGCATGAACTCTTATCACATTAACCTTTTATGTTAGTCGGCTACTGTCTTTTTTTTTTTTTGAGACAGAGTCTTGCTCTGTCACCCAGGCTGAAGTGCAGTGGCGTGATCTTGGCTCACTGCAGCCTCTGCCTCCCAGGTTCGAGTGATTCTCCTGCCTCAGCCTCCCAAGTAGCTAGGATTACAGGCACCTGCTACCACACCCAGCTAATTTTTTATATTTTTAGTAGAGACAAGGTTTCACCATGTTAGTCAGGCTGGTCTCGAACTCCTGACCTCCAGTGATCCACCCACCTTGGCCTTCCAAAGTGCTGAGATTATAGGCATGAGCCACCACGCCCGGCCTCAACTCCTGTCTGTATGCACCTTTGCTCTCTCATTAAGCTAAAAGAACTCAGGGTATTAAATATTTTCTCATCAAAACATTTTTTGCAGTAACTTTATTTCTCTTTTTATGATTCTTTGTTGTTCTCCACATCCCCTTTAACTTGTGGGCTCCAAATCTAGAGAGGATGTAGAGAATAAGGCACCCTTCCCAAAAGGTCCAGAAGCAGACATGGTGAGGTCAGACTTAACTCGGTTTCCCTTGGCTCCATCAGTGAGATACAGTTGGCAGACCACCTGGGTGGGCCACCCCATTACCGTGCATTGGCAAATTACTTAATCCCTGTGGGCTTCAATTTTTTGTTATCTGTGAAAAGGGGACTAAATAGGAATGTGAAATGGTACTGCCACTTTGGAAAACAGTCTGGCAGTTCCTCAAAAAGATAAACGTAGAGTTACTAGTTGGCCCAGCAGTTCCACTCCCAGGAATATACCCGATAAATGAAAACATATGTCTGTACAAAACCTTGTATGTGAATGTTCACAGCAGTATTATTCACAATAGCCAAGAGTGGAAATAGCTCAAACAGCCATCAGTTGATGAATGGATAAACGAAATGTGGTATATACATGCAATGGAATATTATTGGCTATAAAAATGAAGGACTGATACATGCCACAATATGGATGAATCTTGAAAACATGGTAAGTGAAAGAAACTGGCCACAAAATACTACATTTTATATGATTCCAGTTATTTGAAATGTCCAGAATAGGGAATTTTTTAGAGACAGAAAATAGATTAGTGCTGTCCTAGGGCTGGGGCAAACGAGAAATAGTTGAGGGTGATAGGTAAAGGATACAAGACTTCTTTTGGGGGTGATGAAAATGTTCCAAGATTCATTGTGGTGACAGTTTCACAACTCTGTTGAGTATGCTAGGAAACCGTTGAGTTATACACTTTTTTTTTGAGATGGAGTCTTACTCTGTCGCCCAGGCTGGAGTGCAGTGGCGCAATCTCGGCTCACTGCAACTTCTGCCTCCCAGGTTCAAGCAATTCTTGTGTCTCAGTCACCTGAGTACAGGTGTCAGCCACCACACCCAGCCGAGTTAGGAGCTTTAAATGGGTTAATTGTATGGTATGTGAGTTATATAGCTCAATAAAACTGTTATCAAAAAAATAAAATAATGTTGTTTTTTTTTTTTTCGAGATGGAGTTTCACTCTTGTTGCCCAGGCTGGAGTGCAATGGTGCAACCTGGGCTCATGCAACCTCCGCCTCCGGGGTTCAAGTGATTCTCCTGCCTCAGCCTCCCAAGTAGCTGGGATTACAGGCGTGAGCCACCACACCTGGCTAATTTTGTATTTTTAGTAGAGACGGGGGTTTCTCCATGTTGGTCAGGCTGGTCTCGAACGCCTGACCTCAGGTGATCCACCCGCCTCGGCCTCCCAAAGTCCTGAGATTATAGGCATGAGCCACCGCGCCTGGCCAAAATAAAATAAAATTTAGTAAAAGCAGAGAGGGCTAAAATTGTCAGCACATAAGGAAATATGATGACTAAATGTAATGTGATAGATGGGATTCTGAAATAGAAAAAGAACAATCCTAGCACTTTGGGAGTCCAAAGCAAACAGATCACTTGAGGTCAGGAGTTTGCGACCAGCCTGGCCAACATGGTGAAACCCCATCTCTACAAAAAAACACCAAAAAAAGTTAACCAGGTGTGGTGGTGGACACCTGTAATCCCAGCTACTTGGGAGGCTGAGGCACGAGAATTGCCTGAACCCAGGAGACCGAGGTTGCAGTGAGCCGAGATCATGCCACTGCACTCCAACCTGGGCAACAGAGTGAGACTCTGTCTCAAAAAAAAGAAAAAAAAAAGGACATTAGGGGAAAACTAAGGAAATTTGAATAAATTATAAACTTCAGTTGATAACAAAGTGTCAATATTAGTTCATAAGATGACTATTCTATCATAAAATGTTTATTAATAAAAGGGGGTTTAATATTAGGATTAAATGAGTTAATTCCTTGCAACTGCTTGGCACACAGTGTTCAACATGTGTTAGCTATTAATACTTTAGTGTTGTTATCATCATCAGAATCTTCACTATTACATCTACTGTTGGATGACTAGGTAATAATGTGGTGATCTCTGTAACTTCTCAGATCTGAAGCTTGAGTAGGCCGATTCTGTCAGTTGTTGATATTTCACTAACTACCCTGTGGCTCACACCTATAATCCCAGCACTTTGGGAGGCTGAGGTGGGTAGATCACCTGAGGTCAGGAGTTTGAGACCAGCCTGATCAACATGGCGAAACCCTGTCCCTACTAAAAATACAAAAATTAGCCAGGCATGGTATGCCTGTAGTCCCAGTTACTTGGGAGGCTGAAGCAGAATTGTTTGAATCCAGGAGACAGGGGTTGCAGTGAGCTGAGATCGCACCACTGCACTCCAGCCTGGGCAGCAGAGCAAGACTTCTTCTCAGAAAACAACAACAACAACAACAAACTACCTTGACACTCAGTAACCTGAAACACCAATCATTTATTATCACTCACGCATCTGTAGACCCGCTGAAGTTTCAGCAGGGCTCGGCTGGGCGACTGGCCCCTCCCTGCAGGTCTCAGGCCAGCTGTGGTAGCTGTGCTTTGTGTGTTCCTGATCATCCCTGAACCAGTGGCCTACCAGGGCTTGTTCTGCTCATGGTGAGAACCGTGAAGTGTCAAAGAGAAACTATAAATTCCAGAGGCTCCTCAGGCCTGACTTGGAGCAGACATCCTATCATTCTGCCTTTTTCTGTTGGCTAAAGCAAGTCATGAGGCCCAACCCAAAAGTTGAGGGATAGAGAAATATATGCTATCCCTTTAGTGGGACACACTTTCAAGTCACATAGCAACGGGCATTGATGCAGTAACACCATTCTTCACATTGATGTGTTCTGTTTACCTCCCAGAGGCAAGGTTGTCAGTGAGCACAAAGGTTAACTGCAGGTTTTTACTGGCTAGTTCTTTCAGGGTATAATGTGGATATCATCTATACAGACTTAGTACTTGAAGCTTGAGAGAGCATGCAGAGGGGAAATCATATAGCGAAGAAGGCGTGAGCCTTGGAGTTCTGGAATTTCTTTTCTTAATTTTTTTTTTTTTTTTTTTTTTAGAGACAGAGTCTTGCTCTGTCACTCAGGGTGGAGTATAGTGGCATGATCATGGTTCATTGTTACGTCTAACTCTGGGGCTCAAGCAATCCTACCACCTCTGCCTCCTGATTAACTGGGACTACAGATGCGTGCTAACACACATCAGGCTAATTTTTTAGAAAACATTTTGTAGAGATGGGGGTCTCACTATGTTGCCCAGGTTTAAACTCCTAGACTCAAACAATCCTCTTATTTCAGCTTCCCAAAGTGCTGGGATTACAGGCATGAGCCACTGTGCCCAGCCAAATTCTTTCTTTATTCAACAAACATATATTGTATATCTCCTATATACAAAACACTTTAGATTAACTGCAAGTTGTAATTAGGTTCAAAAGCAAAAAGAGAATTTTTCAAAGGAGACAAAATGACCACCCAAAGTGGTAAAAGACAATTAGGTGAGAATGAAAACTCTAAGAGTAACAGGTTTCAAGAGAGAAAGTAATTACCGGCAGCTGAGAGGCCAAAGAGGGCAGGAATTGAGATAGACCTGGGGGTCCCGGAGATCACATGACCGTAAGTTGTGCTTATGGAAGTCAGATAAATCAAAGAAGCAAGAACCTAAAGTGCTTATAATTCAGAAGTCTCAGAACACACGTCATCCTGTACTTTTCTGAAGAAACTGTACTACTGTCAAGGAGATGTTTTCATTGATTTTTTTTTTTGGGAATGGGTGGCATGTCATTCTAATGTGGCCACCTTGCTGTTTGGAATAAGCATCTTAGTTGATTAACCCACTGAGCTCATTAGCCTCTAGGGCCTGCTATCAGAATCACAGCTGTTGGTGTTGTGTTTGTTTTTAGTAATTTTGATTGGTGTGCAAATCAGTTAGTAGCTAATTTGGTGATGAAGAACGTGAGGGGTAGAGGCGTAATTTCTGCTCTCAGCTCCCCAAGATGATGGACAAGTTTGAACTAATTGATGTTTTTGGTGCTTGTAATATGCACTTAAAAGCCAAGGCTTTAGGTGAGTTTCCCATTAAGAAAGAAAATAGCTGAATTTTCCCACCTGCATTGCCAATGTAGTTTGCCTGGGCCTGAAGCACTACAGGAACAAAGCCATTCTGGGCTCCCAGACAGACAAGACCAGCCCTCTTGTCCTGTAGTACAGGGTGGGAAGTGCCTGGTTGTGGTCTGAGTAGCATTCAGTTGTGGGGACTGCGTATTTTTTTTTTTTTTTTTTTTTTTTTTTTGAGA